AACACGTATTGCAACGGTGACCTAATGCAACCCGCGGCTCCTTTACCCATTTCAAGAGAATATTAGGAACTACGCAATATTACGCTCTTTGCGACCCGTTTTCATTGGTAAACATTTTTATGGGTAACTAGCCAAATTAGCATCATCATATCCATCGGTCGCCAAACCAATGTAATGTAATTATCGGTATAAAGTACTAAGCCAGTATGACTACACAGTTTTCGTGTTATGTATAAATCTTCATAAAGAAGATTAGACATATACTGTATATAAATGCATTTGTGTGGATATAAATAGGAACTCCCTCGTATGAGGCAATAGGACTTTTTGCATTTCCTTAATCTTTATGTATTCATTGTGTGCCAATGGCCTTGTTGTTAAGACACTTAGGAGATGCCCGGATTGTTACGACTCCCGACGGTCTTATCCCCCAGAGACACGGGGAAGTGAGAACTTTTTTCTGACGTTTTCCGCCTTGATCTTGGGGCTTGGAGCGCGGCGGGTCCGGAGCCGAGCGTTGGCGGAGGACGTCAGGTCCTGGTGGCTCCCGTGATCCTTCTGGAGGCGGAGAGCTCCAGAAGGATCCAGTAGGTTCTTGCTTCTCCCGGGGTGGCTACCCTGTGTGTATGGTGCGTAGGGGCTGCCCTACCCTGTGTGTATGGTGCGTAGGGGCTGCCCTGTCGAGGGTGGTCAGGCGTCGCTAGGTGTAGGGGACGACGCCTGCCCTGCCGAGGATGGTCAGGCGTCGCTAGGTGTAGGGGACGACGCCTGCCCTGCCGAGGGAGGTCAGGCGTCGCTAGGTGTAGGGGACGACGCCTGCCCTGCCGAGGGAGGTCAGGCGTCGCTAGGTGTAGGGGACGACGCCTGCCCTGCCGACGGTGGTCAGGCGTCGCTAGGTGTAGGGGACGACGCCTGCCCTGCCGACGGTGGTCAGGCGTCGCACCATCGGCAAGGGTGTTTAGTTTTACCGATTGACTCCTGGTTTGGTTTCCTTGTGCCTTCGACGCCCTTAACTCGGCAACATCAACAAAGCTTAAGTGTCTTAAGATTCAAGTGGTAAATATAAATCAATCAAACATGCGAGAGGACAGACATAGATGCGCTGACAGGCATAGACGCGCTGACAGGCATAGACGCGCTGACAGGCATAGACGCGCTGACAGGCATAGACGCGCTGACAGGCATAGACGCTCTGACAGACATAGACGCGCTGACAGGCATAGACGCGCTGACAGGCATAGACGCGCTGACAGACATAGTCGCGCTGACAGGCATAGACGCGCTGACAGGCATAGACGCGCTGACAGGCATAGACGCATTGACAGACATAGACGCGCTGACAGGCATAGACGCGCTGACAGACATAGACGCGCTGACAGGCATAGACGCATTGACAGGCATAGACGCGCTGACAGGCATAGACGCGCTGACAGACATAGACGCGCTGACATGCATAGACGCGCTGACAGGCATAGACGCGCTGACAGACATAGACGCTCTGACATAGACACTCTGACAGACATAGACACTCTGACAGACATAGACACACTGACAGGCATAGACACTCTGACAGGCATAGACACACTGACAGGCATAGACACTCTGACAGGCATAGACACTCTGACAGACAGACGCGCTGATAGACATTGACACACTGACAGACATAGACACACTGACAGACATAGACACACTGACAGGCATAGACACTCTGACAGACATAGACGCGCTGACAGACATAGACACTCTGACAGACAATGACGCGCTGACAGACATAGACACTCTGACAGACATTGACGCACTGACAGGCATAGACACCCTGACAGACATAGACGCGCTGACAGACATAGACACTCTGACAGACATTGACGCGCTGACAGACATAGACACTCTGACAGACGTAGACGCGCTGACAGACATAGACACTCTGACAGACATTGACGCGCTGACTGACATAGACACTCTGACAGACATAGACGCGCTGACAGACATAGACACTCTGACAGACATTGACGCGCTGACAGGCATAGACACTCTGACAGACATTGACGCTCTGACAGACATAGACACTGACAGACATAGACACTGACAGACATAGACACTGACAGACATAGACACTGACAGACATAGACACTCTGACAGGCATAAACGCTCTGACATAGACACTCTGACAGGCATAAACGCTCTGACATAGACACTCTGACAGGCATAGACGCGCTGATAGACATAGACACTCTGATAGACATAGACGCTCTGACAGGCATAGACGCTCTGACAGACATAGACGCTCTGACAGGCATAGACACTCTGACAGACATAGACACTATGACAGACATAGACACTCTGACAGACATAGACACTCTGACAGGCATAGACACTATGACAGACATAGACACTCTGACAGACATAGACACTCTGACAGGCATAGACACTCTGACAGACATAGACACACTAACAGACATAGACACTCTGACAGACATAGACACTCTGACAGACATAGACACTAACAGACATAGACACTCTGACAGACATAGACACTCTAACAGACATAGACACTAACAGACATAGACACTAACAGACATAGACACTCTAACAGACATAGGCACTCAAAGAGCTATGAGAGCTGGTGCTCTTACATGAGTCATGACTCGTGTCAACAGATGCCCTGAGACGAGTCATGAGTTTGTGACATCTGAACTCAGAGGCTGATGAGTCACACACACTCATGACAGCCCCAACCTGAATGGAGACCAACTTATATCGCGTCATGAGGCGCCGGGGAATGTGTCTCAGTGAGCCATCATGGAGTTTCCTCGCCAGAACTGGTTTGGGGGCGAGTTGCACCGGTTTTTTCTACACACGAGTAATTACGTTAACGATCTCTTAGTTTAATGAAATATTGTCTAAAACGTTCAACGAGGAAATATCTCTTGCCGGAAGAACGTTAGACGTTTCAAATGTAGAAATTATGTCAAGCGTTTGATGTCAACAAAGGCTGGAACTATTCTCAACGTTTGTCTGTGTGTGGGGGGGGGGGGGGTTGAATGTGTGCCAAATTCACGCTGCCGGTTACCGGGTCAATATGGCAACGCTGTATTGGTATTCTCACTTTGCGCTGCACTTTGTTCGAATCACTGGTTGACTAATTAATTAACAGGAGTCGTAACAGTTGTTCATCTGGCTTTGATACTGAGGGTTCGATTCGAACATTGTATCGAATGAGAAAATCAGTTGTAGCAGTGCGGGGATTTGAACCATTACCAGACTCACTAAGAAGGAGTAGTGGTAAAGCAGTCTCCTGTGGCGCAGTGGCAAGGCACTCCCCCGGCGCTTCGATAGCGTTTTGGCCTGGGTTCGTATCCTGACCGGGGGGAGGATTGACCGGGCACCAATCCTTAACTGTAGCCTCTGTGCACCCAGCAGTGAATGGGTACCTGTTGTTAAACGATTAGGCGGGTCGTATTCAGGGAGGAAATTAGGATTAAGAACCTGTCGGAAAACAGTATGCGTGCTAATGGCTGTACAAGAATGTAAGAACATTCTCGGGTTGAACACCTTTTTGTCCGGTCGTGGCCTAGTGGGCTAAGGTGCGCGTGTAGTAATCACCAGCTCGCTGGTTCGAATCCCCCGACACTGCTGCAAATGAGTTTCTCGCTGATGATATTTCAGGCCATTTTAATTTAATGGCGGAGCCGTAACAGGTTGTTCATCTGGTTTGTGAGGTCAGTGGTGGTAGTGGTCGGTGGTGGTCGGTCGTGGTGGTGGTCGGTGGTGGTCGGTCGTGGTGGTGGTCGGTGGTGGTGGTGGTCGGTCGTGGTGGTGGTGGTCGGTCGTGGTGGTGGTCGGTCGTGGTGGTGGTGGTGGTCGGTCGTGGTGGTGGTCGGTCGTGGTGGTGGTCGGTCAACTGTTACTAACTTGTGAGGTCAAGTTATAGAGACTTCATAGTTTATGGCCTACAAATTCATTTGCAATAAAAGGAATTTTATAAAATATTATCTAAACAAAAATCGTGATCTTCTTTTTTATTAACTCGTGGTTGTACTTAGGGTCTATTGATGAATTTTGGTTAGAATGAAGAGCGGAATAACCCCGTCCACCAGAGCCCCGTCTACCAGAGCCCCGTCTACCAGAGCCCCGTCCACCAGAGCCCCGTCCACCTCAGCGTCGCCCGTCCGCCCACGCTATCGAGTGTTCCGTCCCACACCTACATACACCTGTCCACAGGTGTCACCTTACCAATTACTCAACGATCCCACCTGGTGACAAAGGTGTGTGTCGAACCTCGTCTAACTCTGACTCCATCATATCATCAATCTGTCGACTGAACTCCAAACAGCTTCAGCACCTTAAAGTCCTGAGTAGATACTGGTTTGGAAACAGAGTTGAATTATGGAACATATTACCGGTCACCGTATTACCGGGATACCAGTAGACATAGGACATCGCTGAATTGTTTCAAGCGTAGGCTAGACATATATATGAATAAGTAGGGATCATGAGAAAGATTCGAAGCTATATGCTCGAATCCTCATCATGATTTTGTCATTGATACTTGAGAGAGAGAGAGAGAGAGAGAGAGAGAGAGAGAGAGAGAGAGAGAGAGAGAGAGAGAGACTGCCTCATATAGGGCCAATAGACCTTCTACAGTGTCCTATATTGTTATATTCTTATAAATAATAGAGCTGTAATTTCTACCTGACATATCTTAAATTATATATAGGTATTTTAAGGTATTTATGAGTAGAAAGCACTAAGCCAGTATGGATATATAACACATGGAAGGGATATATGAGGACGAGATGGGATATGAGGTCAAGGAGCCAGGACATGAGAGCGGAATGAAGGAACGATACCTAACCACTTGAACCATCGGGGATCGAACGCCGACCCTGCAAGATGCAAGCCCGTCACTCAACAGACGAGCCCAAGTGATTGGACTAATTTACACACACACTGGCAACAAGCTAGATAATAAAATACGCAGGTTAAATGACATATTTGGATAAAATATACAAACTTTATTCAATATTCATATAAAACATTTACTTAAAAATATTTTCAAGCACAACATTCATCTCCGTTAGCTGCACCAACGTTCACATAACACATAATAACATAGGTGGCGCCACCTGTGTGCTCAAGGGTGTATCACAGTTCAAGATTCCCTATCAAATGAGGCTATTGAATTGGTACTAATTTCATTCATTTGTGCACGCCTATACTCCACCCCTGATCCCTTGGGATATTTTGGGACATTTTAGAATATTTGGGACACTGGCACTTGGGACATATAGGAGTAGAGTGAGGCAGAGTGCCTATAGAGGAAATGGTAGTATAGCTGTCTTCAACAAGACTATAATATGTATACTATAATATGTATACTGAAAGAAAAAAACAAATATATATATATATATAGCACCAATGGGTAAAATATAATTTATAACAAATATACATTAATCGTAATCAGGTACTGTATGTTAAGTGTTTGTTTGGGGTAAAATGTCTATATATATATATATATATATATATATATATATATATAAACTAAAGAAATGACAAGTGAGCGATTTTTTTGAGCAAGTGATCCCAAAAGATTTGGGATCTGGTATTACTGGCCAGATGGACAAGTTATGTTTTTGGATCAAATTCTAAGACTGATATGAATCATATCTTACTATATCGTCCAGTAAACTTATATATCTACTGTATTCAAAATATTTTTTGAGCCAAATATTTATTATTTTTCTGGATCAAATTTGCGAATTTGGGATCCGATTTGAGAAGTGTTTTAAATTAGTTTCGATGCTCTTCAATTTTTTTTATGGCAATAAATGTTTGGATTATTTGCTTTTGTTCTGTGGTTTCATTCTCTTATTACGGAGTGAGTCGAGGCACCGAGCCTTGATCGTGACTGTCGTCGCGGGGCGAGACTCTTCTTTAGTTTGCCCTTCAGGAAATATCAAACCATGAATTTGATCTTGCTGGTCTGTTGCCGACGAATGTAATCTTTCGATAATATCGGCGACGAACTTGATCTTTCTGTTGTATCGACGACGGACTTGATCTTTCTGTTGTATCGACGACGGACTTGATCTTTCTGTTGTATCGACGACGGACTTGATCTTTCTGTTGTATCGACGACGGACTTTATCTGTCCGGTTTATTGCCGTCGAACTACATCTTTCTGGTGTATCGACGACGAATTTTATCTTTCCAGGACGTCGACGATGAAGTGAGTCAAGTTTCTTAAAAGATATTGATGGCGAGACTGTCTCTTATTTGAGGATTTCTTCAGATACATCGAAGGCCATCTGGGTATCGAAGGCACTTAAGCACGCATCCCAGAATAGGAGCTTTTGGCTTCGTCTTAAAAAGAGATCCTCCCGCATTCATAGGACTTGTACAGAGGGGGTGAGGGGGGTCCTTCTTGACGCTGAAGCCAGCATGAAGTGTCTGCAGGACCTCCTAGCACCTAGAGGTATGACTGAAACTCTGCTCTCTGGGCTCATCTTCATAGGAATCCCAGCAAGAGGATATCAGTTTGAAGGAGGATGCAGAATCATCAGGACATAGTCCTTTTTTGAGAATCCCTTCAATAGGATAATCATGGATTTGGTTTAAAGTTCCTGTGGTATTGAGTCGTTGTTTACCACGTTCCCTGCTGGAGGTCCTCTAGGAACTTGCGAGCCTTGGGCCCACACTTGTAGACCAGCTGCCGCTCGGACACGGGGCTTAGGGCGCCCGTAGTGTAGTGGTATCTGTCGGTAAGGAAACACTACATTTAGAACACTCTTTAAGCGCATCATGCGTAATGATGACGAGGGTATGCGGTGGCTACAATGTAAATTAACATGAAATGCAATTACCAGACTACCACTGCGCCACTCTACTCGTGTATAATTATCATAATATCATGGACACAAAGGTGAAATTACCGATAATATTCATAACCTTGATGAGGATTGTGACTGCTAAACTCAGCGCCTAAGCTCACCTGAGTCCACGGGCAAAGTTGTCGTAGGAGAGGTTGGGCTTGTTGGACCTCTGCCCCCACATCTGGGCGATGACAGCGGGCCGCACGAAGCGGAATGTGTAGCAGGTCTTGTCCTCCCAGCGGACGACGTCGGGGTTGTATTGCTTGTCAGCCAGGAGACGGATCACGAACTCCCAGTTCTTTGGTCCGCGCTCTGAGGAACAGAAAATTTCGCTGTTAGTCATCTGTTACAGGAACTAGTTTTTACATCGTACGTGACACGATCAAACTTTTGTTTTACACTACCATTTAACAATCTTTCTATATATCATTGTCCAAAATCCTACAAATAATCTCAGGGTTTTGTTTGTTGCATAGAACAAAAGCGAGCAGTTACTAACATATAATTCCAAGTATCGTATTCTATATCGTAACCACAATTTGTAGCCAAGTTACCCACATTTGCTAACTGTAGTTCAAAAATGCGGGTAACTGTACCCTTCCCACCGCTGCCCACTGGATTCGAAGGTGAACGATATGCAAATCAAATCACCCACAGGATGGGTATGGGGTGCATTATTAACGAACTAAACTAAACTTCCCCTTAAAATAGTTACGTTTTCTTTAATGGATGACGGAAAGGGTAACTCAGAAATACATACCTCGCTTCCTGGACTTGGTTCGGATCTTATCGAGAGCTCTGCAAGAAGGTACCACAGACTCGGGTGATGGGGATGGTGATGGTGACATTTCACGGTAACTCTCCTCGAATTTCATTACTTCCGGCTCTGTTTAACGAGAGACAATGGAGAGAATGAGAATTTGAAGCAATGCTGATTTTGGAAACGCTTTAGCAAATATAATATTATAATTCAGCAAAACGGAAAGTTAGAGACATAAAAACTAGCGTCCAACTCACCAGCTTTTACAAAAGTCACTTCTGGAGGAGCGAACAGGTCACCTTGGTAGTCTTCCCAGGCACGACCCCAGCCGGCCTGCACTTGCGGCTTCACTTCCAGTTCCTGCTCCTGCGGTACCTGCTGGTGCAAGAATTGGTCCAGTTCGGCGAAGTCTTCGGGAATAGTCAGAGGAGGCAACTCGCACAGATCCGCCAGTTCTTCGTCGTTCTCATAGAAGGGGGAGTTGGAAGACGAGGAGAAAGATGAGGCGTCGCTGCTACTGCAGTCGCTGAAGGTGGACGAGGAGCTCTCGTAGTCTGAGGTAGGAGTGCTCGTGGCTGTAGGAGAATAACAACAATTAAAATACATATAATAATAATCATATTCTTATTTTATATCGTATATAGAGGATTAGGCTATATCTCACTCTCCTTAATACAAATAGCCGACCTGCATCAGCGAATTGAAGGTTGAAAGGTGAGACTTAAAGAGGATTGAAACTCCAATCAAAACAGGCATACACATTAGTCAGGCCATAACTAGCTTCCAGATATAACTTACCGAATCCTATATGTTCGAGGAGGTGGTGAAACTGGTCGTAGAACAAGCTGCCCCATATGCTGTCGAACTGGGAGTGGAAGTCGAAGCGTGAGTACTGAGCCAGGTCACAACCCGTCACGCTGGAGAAGAACTCCAGGTTCACGGAACAGGGATCGACACCCTGTTCTTGACACACTTGCTGGGCCCATCTGAAGCAATCCTGTAGTCAGAAAAGAAAATGTTTTTTTAGCTCAGTTTGTCCTGCTAAAAGTGGATTTTTTTTTTTATATGTTCAGTATAACTGTAGTTTGTTGTAGGTACGCAGTCGTAATGTTAATATACTACAAATTTTAAACTATATAGTAAAAGTTGAGAAAAAATAAGTTCTTAATAAATTCGCAGGCCATTTTTTGCCGTTTTAATATTTTAATAGAGGGTTTAAGATATGGCATTTATCTCAGGTTAAAGTGATTGCAATAACAGGCTGCATTATTAACCTTAACTTTAAAATAGGCATGGAATCCCAAAGTTACTTTGAAACATTTAACAGTAAGCATCATTAACTATCAATCGAAGGTGCCAATCTTAGACGACTATTTAGCACCGTAAATCATGAAAAAAATGGGGAAGCGTGATATTTGTTGCGGCATCTGCAACTGTGATGCTAAAATTCCCACCTGTATTAATTAGCAGCAATGAATTGCAACACTGACGACCTCGTGTGAAAAAAAGAATATCTAATATTTTGTTTAGTTCGAGATCAGGATTGAGGATCATCTCTCGTGTTTTGTAGTGTTAAACGTTTATGGTAATTATCGCTATTAGAGTCTGACCGCCTTACCTCTCTGCTCCAGGTGGTGACATCTGTGCTCTCAAAAGCGTCGATGTACTTAAGTGTTCCTTGCAGCTGCTCATCATAACTCGTCGGACTTGTCAGTATTTCATCCAAGTCCGAGAAGAAGAACCGGTCCTCGTTCATCACTAACTCGTCTCCAAAGATTAGAGTATTCTCAATGTTGTACGTATCCATAGCGGTCATTTCTTGTCTGGTAACAAACTACAAGTTATATCTCTAATGATAACACACGAATGATTGTTTGCACGGGCTCGGAACCCCAAGAGTGTTGGCTCAGGAACAGCGGTGAGTTTACAGACAGGTCCTGCTCGTGCCACGGGTGGATATGAACTGGTGAGAGAAGCTTTTGGCGCGCGCATATATACGGGGATTGACGTCACTGGCTGGACTTCAAACGTTTACGAGCGATTCGGGGAAGTACGCTCGCGTGCGCGTGTGTATGTGTGTGTGTGTGTGTGTGTGTGTGTGTGTGTGTGTGTGTGTGTGTGTGTGTGTGTGTGTGTGTTCACCTATTTGTGCTTACGGGGGTTGAGCTTTGGCTCTTTGATCCCACCTCTCAACTGTCAATCAACTGGTGTACTGTCAATCGACAACTGTCAATCAACTGTGTGTGTGTGTGGAAGCGATGTTTATAGTGTGGGTTGGTGCTGGTTGTAGTGTGATGGTAATGATTATAGTGGTGTGATGGTGGTAAGCGTTGCGGTGGTGAGGATTGTATTAGTAATGTTCGTGATGGTGATGAGAGTAGCGGAAGTGTTGGTGGTAGTGGTTAAAGTAGTGGTAGTGGTGGTTAAGAGCAGTGTTAATTGTGATGACGGTTTACAAATGAGAGAAAGCAAGCGTCAAATCTCTTGGCGCGTATTTATATATTTCGTTCTCGTCCTCTGCATCGCCTAAGATCAAATTATTCTTAATTAAAATATGAATAATTCAAAAATTGTCATAAACTATCAAGCCTAACAACCTGGAGAGGCTGTTTGCAATCAGAACTACCAACCATTCTCGCTCTAGGGTAACAAAAAAATAAACACCTAATTGCTTACAGATAATAAAATATATATGTATGCGAATTATGTTTTGTACAAAGTTAGATTTAAAGAAAATAAAACAAACATTCCAACGATAATTATTTGAGTTGAAGTTCTAAGCGTCATCTGGCAACTCTCACGCGAATGTTTTCATTGTAAACTTTCTTAATCATTATTTTGATATAAAAGTCTTTATTTGTGAAGACGGTACATACGGATATCGTAAAAAAAAATTATGAATACATTCACTGCAATCACGTGAATAGAGTGATAGAATTTTAATAGTTTGGATAATATACTGTCAGACATACGCTTGCAAAGGCAGCACTACGCTATAACTAATCCTCTATCTAATATTTTTTATCCTGTTAACCGCATCGTAGAATGAATCAGGTTAGCATTAGGATCATCGCCCGTTAACATATAATAAAAAATGTGAATGACACCACAAAACATAGACAGGAATGACAGTAAAAACATTAAAATAAGCGCCAGATAAAAAAAAAACATTCGCTGGCAACCCTTAGAGGTCAGCTGGTAAATCCCCCCCCTCCCCCCTTTTGTCATCTCACGTTTGAGATGGAATATTTTGACCCTTAAGCTACCAAGACATAGAGACCGGTGTCGCTTGCTCCATGGCGCGCTAACGCTGATACAAAGTGGGACCCGTCCTAAAGATTGCCGCATGTAGAAGGGTACGCAGTTAGTTTGTCGTATAGTTATGGTATCGCTTTTCCTCTGTGAGCGGTAGTGTTTGCTTTTGTTTGTATGACTCGGCTCTTAGACGATTACGTCCGCTTGTTATTGTGTAAATAAAGCAGTAGCGTTATGACGTATCCTGTCTAGCTATTAGTATTTCATTACGTGCTCTGTTGCTTTATATATGACTCTGTTGATAACTCATTTTGACTGTGTTGCAATAAGTCTCTTTATTAATGTGTTATTTTAATAGGACTATTAGGCTGGCCTGAACTACGTTACTCTAGGCCTTCAGGGCTTTAGGCTATCTTAGAGCTACCTTCAGTACTCTAGGCTATCTTAGAGCTACCTTCAGTACTCTAGGCCTTCAGAGCTTTAGGCTATCTTAGAGCTACCCTCAGTACTCTAGGCTATCTTAGAGCTACCTTCAGTACTCTAGGCCTTCAGAGCTTTAGGCTATCTTAGAGCTACCCTCAGTACTCTAGGCTCTCTTAGAGCTACCTTCAGTACTCTAGGCTATCTTAGAGCTACCTTCAGTACTCTAGGCCTTCAGAGCTTTAGGCTATCTTAGAGCTACGTTCAGTACTCTAGGCTCTCTTAGAGCTACCTGAAGCCTGTGGTGGAAGCTCTCCCATGTGGGAGGCAGAGAGTCCAGGTTCTAGCCGTATAAAAACTTAAACGTGTTTGGCCAGTGGATACAAAAAGAAAAAAAAGAGTTTCCCAGTATACTGCCTGAGGCAGGGGGGATTGTCTGGGGGTATATTGAGACTTGGAGAGGTATGTTTTGGGGGGACTGCATGGTGTGGGTGTGTGAGAGGTGGGAGAGGAGGGAGGGGGTGGATAGTGGATAGGCAGAGAGGAATTTTATTCAGTTGTCATGCGCCTTTTGCTTTTGAAGCCTACTCTAATACAATTATTTACCATTTGCTGTTTTTATAAATTGTTCCAGTTCTGTTAGTCTGTTGTGTAACTTGTAACTACATAATATACGCTATATATATATATATATATAAACCCATACATAAATGGTATGTATTTAATACTGTCATTATACTTTTGATTAAAAGCACTATTATAAAGTTGTATTCATGACATATACAAAGGGACATGTTAAAATTATTACCCACCAGTTTGCAGGAGCGAGTTTCAGCTCCTTGGCCCCGCCTTTCTAGCAGTCAATCGTCGACTGGAATGATTGTCAAAATTTTTGCTTCTAGTGATATCTGTTATTATAGTGATTAGGGAGTGTCACTCATCATGTGAGTGAACATGTCCCCCCATGGGGGACAGTATTAGACAGTGTCACTCATCCTGTGAGTGAACATATCCCCCCATGGGGTACAGCATTGGCTTTCACTCCTGTGAGTCACTCATCCTGTGAGCGAACCAAATATACAACACCCCAAATAGATAGTCACTCCACTGAGTTGTTCATCCTGTTACTCTATACAACGTACTTTGTTTATCTACGAATTCTAAACTGTTTTCCGTATCAAATAATATTATTTTTAAATGTATTATTATTATTATTATTATTACTTGAGCCCAGATTCAGCTGGATTCACTTTATTGCCTCAAATGAACACTGCTAAACAAGGGATTAAGTTCTTACAACGCTCAAGTTTCAGTCAGTCCTCCTAAGGCTTCGTAACGTCAAGAAATTGTCGTACTAAAGTGCCCCCTTATCCTGACCTACCATAGGACCCGAAACAGAAAACGGAACAGTACGTCAATTTCGCGAGCCGCTACCACTACCTAGTACGACGATTTTTTTACTTTTGGTAGAGTATACGTCAAAATGCGACGTTCTATTGGGAGGACGGGTTGCAAGTTTAGGCTACACGGGTGCGGCATGTGAGTGATGAATGACAAGAGAGAGAGAGAGAGAGTGAGAGAGAGAGAGAGAGAGAGAGAGAGAGAGAGAGAGAGAGAGAGAGAGAGAGAGAGAGAGAGAGAGAGAGAGAGAGTAGAGGGACCAGGCGCAGGAATAGTTAGGAGAGAACAGTATCTAGATTTTACGATAAAAAAAGTGTTTTTCATGCTTCTGTCGCTTCTCTTCCATGGCCGCCTCCTGTTCCTCTATTGTAATTGAGGTTGTTGGCTTCAAGTGCCATGAACCAGCGTTCAGATTCTCTCACTTGCACTGTTATCCTTACATTCTCAGCTACCCTGGCAAGGTGCTCTTCTCTGATGATAAAAGGGTCTTGGAGATGAAGTGGTGTATTCAATATGGTCTCCATCAGCGCCCTCGGAGGCCAGCACTTCTGCTCCTTCATTTCCATTACTATGTCATGCATAGTTTTATTATTATTATTTTCTACCACAGACGTGGCCACACATTTACAATGCTAACCAGCATGTATAAATTTTCTTCTGTCCTCCATGGACAGTGTGAGAGATTTGTTAAACATATAGTTCAGGGATTTATTGAACTTCCTATTGGGGAGTGTTGTACATGCTGCTATGGCGGTATGTCCACTCACAAGATGAGTGGCGCTGCCCAATAAACTCGCCCCTCGGTCAAAATTTAAAATTTGATCAACCACAGAAGGTGATTGTAGTGCTTTTGAAATACTAGGCTAAGGTACATATGTAAATACAGAAATACACAGATTTACGTATGCCCTATATAAAGTGTTGGATGTGTCTTTTACATAGTGTCATTAATGTCAAAGGTGAAATGCATAGTAACGGCAGTGATTAGGCACGGGTCTTAATACGTGCATTTTCTTCAATTTAGTTTGGATAGACATTTCAAATTACATTCTATGCTGCTCCAGCTCTGCCATTGGTAGCTTTATCTGAAGCATCAGTGTTGATTTGATCACGTTATATTCCTGCCTCTTGATTAATTTCCTCAAGATATATGTCTAATGTTTTTTTTTTTTGGGGGGGGTTACATTCCGGACGTCAACGGTGGCATCTTATTTGTTATAATCTTACTTGAGGGATGTCCCAAGAAGGTGACATCCCTACAGCCTCATGTGCTCATTTGTCGTGCAGAGAAATGTCTTCCGATAGAGCTAGAGGAGTCAGTCTGTATCTCTCTCTCTCTCTCTCTCTCTCTCTCTCTCTCTCTCTCTCTCTCTCTCTCTCTCTCTCTCTCTCTCTCTCTCTCTCTCTCTCTCTCTCTCTTTCAGTGATATGTCTCCAGTACCCGTAGGGTCTTGAAGAACAGTTGGCATCGTTGTCGACTCATAGTGTTGGATCCCGGGGTTCGAGTCTCAGACGGGACAGAAATGCTTCGCCACGTTTCCTTTCACCCAATGCGTCTGTTCACCCAGCAGTACACAGGTACCCGGGAGTTAATTGTTGTGGAGATGCATCCTGGGGAGGGTGAGTAGTTCGACCTTGGAGGGGCCTCCATACAAGCCTATATATATATAGACAGGCTTCCTGTCCCCGATAAAATGAATTGTTATATTCACGAGATGCTTATGGAGTTTCCCTATATTGCTAACCCTTGTGGTTAATTGGAAAAGGGATGTTGACCAAACATCTGTGGCCTTTTTTTTAATATGAAAGCAGACATATATGGATACAACACATGTGTGTGTGTGTGTGTGTGTGTGTGTGTGTGTGTGTGTGTGTGTGTGTGTGTGTGTGTGTGTGTGTGTGTGGG